GGGGGGGGGGGGGGGGGGGGGGGGGGGGGGGGGATGGTTGAATTACCCCTTCAGAGGGTCAGTATAAACGCAATGGGCCAAATGGCATCCTGCCACATTATCACCATTCTGTGGCCAGGTGAAATACAGTATGAAAAGACTTGTATGGAACATTAACATGGGCCAAATTTGTTTTTAATATACAAAATAGATCAACCTGACTTTGTAAGACAGAGTGACTCACATTCATTCTACCTGAGGTACCATTAGGCCCTTCTGTGTCAAAGAATAAAGTATGTTTCGCCAGTCCTGCATTCCAAAAGACTCAATTCTGTCTTTAATTAGATAGCTTAACTGTTTTTTTTAATGTCACTCATGTGAAATGGGCATTGCAGTAATTATTGACCATCCCTAATTGCCCAGAGGGCAGTTAAACGTCAGTCACATTACTGAGGGTCTGGAGTCACTGGCACCAAACTAGGTAAGGATAAGCATTCATTGCCTGTTTCTAAGTTGTCCTTGAGAAGGTGGTGGTGAGCTGCCTCCTTGAACCACTGCAGTCCAGCATTTTGACCCAGCAATAGTGAAGGAACTGCGATATATTTCAAAGTCAGGATGGCGAGAGGCTTGGTGGGGAACTTGAAGGCCGTGGTGTTCCCATATATCTGCTGCCCCTGTTCCTCTCGATGGATACATACCAACATTAGGCTATTGTGAGTTGCACTAAGAATTTTTAAAGATGTGATTTCCACATTTGTCTGCAGTCTCCCTTTCAATACGTCCTCTTGATGCCCAAGATCCATCCAATATCCTCACAGTTCCATTTACAGAAAATGACTGTAGCTAAAAGAGAGAGAGCAGAATCTAAGGGCATATTTTCTTCAACACATTTCTTTGGCTGCTCGAACAGGGATCCACTGTTGTTATATCCTGAAAGTTGTTTGGGTCCAAAGATTTTTTCAAATTTTACAGAATTGTGAATGAAACTAAAATCATGATCACAAGGCAATAGTACAACCATGCAGCATGTACCTACTGGAACTGAAAAATAATAAAATGTAACAAATATTTACATTTATTTATCACCTTATGTATCAGCGGTTAGTACTTCTGCCTCACAGCGCCAGGGACCCAGGTTTGATTCCAGCCTTGGGTGACTGTGTGTGTGTGGAGTTCGCACATTCTCCCCATATCTGCATGAGCCTCCTGATGTACAGTTTAGGTGGATTGGCCATGTTAAATTGCTCCATAGTGTCCAGGATTGCGTAGGTTAGGTAGATTAGCCATGGGAAAGGTGAGGTTATAGGGATAGGGTTGGGGGTGTGGGTCTGGTTGGGATGCTCTTCGGAGGGTTGGTGTGGACTCAATGGGCCGAGCGGCCTGCTTCCACTCTGTAGGGATTGTACGATTCTATGATTTTGCATTGAAAAGCTTTGCAAGATGCTTCAGAGAAGTGTAGAAAAAAATCCCCCAAAAATGGCAAATAGATGAGGAGCTTCTGTGGTAATCCATCTACTTAATTTCGAATTTAGAAAATGTGACCATGTAGAAAAATTTGAGCTGGTGATATACATCTTCCCTGTAATAATATTAACACATCAAGTACGAGTAAATTCGATTGTGACATTTTTCTACAAATCTTTCACCAAGTGATTTCTTTTGCATTACTTGACACATTTACGTAGTTTTCTTGGCATCATGTTTTGGTTATATTGCAAATTTTCTTCAATTCCACGGTGTCCCCAGACATTGATAATTCTTTTCCTTTATACTGAGTAACCAGAGAGATGAGTCAAAATGCATGATGCAGAACATTACAAAAATGAAAAAAAAATACATCACTAAAGATGTGGAGATGTCAAATTTGACTTTAAAGTTCATAAAAAGGAAGGAAAGATGAACAGAGCTGAAGAGTTCCAGTTTGTTGATCCAAGGAAAGAGTACGTTGGAGTAGCACACTGGGGTAAATTTTCATTTCGCTATATTTGTAGAGAACAGTACATGTGGTGTTCAGAAGGTGTAAGTCCTGGAGTCATAGAGATGTACAGAATGGAAACAGACCCTTTGGTCCAACTTGCCGACCAGATATCCTCAGCTGATCTTGTCCCATTTGCCAGCAATTGACCCATATCCCTCTAAACCCTTCCTATTCATGTCTCCCATCCAGATGCCTTTTAAATGTTGTTATTGTACCAGCCTCCACTACCTCCTCTGGCAGCTCATTCCATACATGAACCATCTTCTGCATGAAAACGTTGCCCCTTAGGTCCTTTTTAAATCTTTTCCCTCTTACTTTAAACGTATGCCCTCCACCCTCAGGAAAAGACCTTGTCTATTCACCCTATCCATGCCCCTCATGATTTTATAAACCTCTATAAGGTACCCCCCTCAGCCTCTAATTCTCCAGAAAAATGGCCCCAGCCTTTCAACGTCTCCCTATAGCTCAAATCCTCCAACCCTGGCAACATCCTTGTAAATCTTTGCTGAAGCCTTTCATTTTCACAACATCTTTCCTATAGCTAGGAGACCAGCATTGAATGGAATATTCCAAAAGTGGCCTAAGAGAAGAAGCAAATAAATCATGGACCTGCAAGGTTTATATCAAATAGTGTCAGCTGAGAGCCCTTAGGGAAAACTCATCCAAATTCAGATAGACTGCGCGCTACTACTTGTTGAAAATATTCCAGTATGGTGTTGAGAAAGATTTTAGTGATGATTGAGTGGCTGAGTAGTTTTGCTGGGCCAAATGGCCTAATTCTGTCTGTATGTTTTATGGTCTACTGTACTGTATTGGCTCCCTAAATTAATTTCTATATAAGGAAAGATGTAAATGTGTTGGAGGCTGTTCAGAGAAGATTTTACCAGACTAATCGCTGGAATGCGTGGGTTGTCTTTTGAGGCAAGGCTGGACAGGCTAGGCTTGTATATACTGGAGTTTAGAAACATAAAAGATAACTTGTTTGAAACATACAAAATCCCGAAGGGACTTGGCAGGGTGGATGTGAAAAAAACCAATATTTGTTCTGGTAGGAAAATCTAGAACTCATGGTCACTGTTTAAAAGTAAGGGCTCACCCCATTAAGACACTTCTTTTTTCATTCTTTAGAGGGTTGAGATTCTTCCCTCAAAAGGTGGTGGAGGCAGAATCTTTGAATATTTGTCATGGGTAGAGCTCACTAAGGAATAGGCAATTCTGGATTTAATGATGTGCAATGAGGCAGATTTTGATTAGGGAGTTGAAGGTGAAGGAATCCTTAGGAGGCAGTAACCATAATATGATAGAGCTCAACCTGTAGTTTGAGAGGGAGAGGATTGAGTCAGATGTAAAGAGTATTACAATTGAGCAAAAGTAACTGCAAAGACATAAGGGAGAAGCTGACCAGAGTTGATCAGACGGGAAGCCGAGCAGGGAAGATGGCGAGCTGGAATGGCAGGGGTTTCTCGGGAGGTGCAGTATAAATTCTACCCCAAGGAGGAAGAAACATATAACAGGTAGGATGAGGCAGCCAAATGGTGGGTGGGGAGTCAGGGAATGCATAAAAGAAAAAGAAAAAGCATATAATATGGCGAAGATGAGTGGGAAGCAGTTAAAACCAGCAGAGGAAAACTTTTTAAAAAACAAGCAATAAGGGAGATGAGATGATGAAATGTAAGAGTAAGCTAGTTAATAATATAAAAGAAGATTGCAAGAGTTTTTCTTAGATGATGTAAAAGTTAAGAGAGAGGAGCAAAAGTGGACATTTGGACCAATGCAAAATGAAGCTGGAGAAGTAGTAATGGGGAACAAAGAAATGGCAGAGGACCTGAATAGGTACTTTGCGTCAGTCTTCATGGTGAAAGACACATGTAACATACCAGAACTTCAAGAGAGTTAGGGGGCAGAGGTGAGTGTAGTGACCATCACTAAGGAGAAGATACTGGGGAGGCTGAAAAGTCTGAAGGCACATAAATCTCTGAGATTAGTTGGGCTACACCCAGAGGTCTGAAGGAGATAGTTGAGGAGATTGTAGGTCTCAGGGAGGGTCTCAGAGGAGTAGAAAATGGCTAAAGTAACATACCCTTGTTTAAAAAGGGAGGGAGGCAGAAGACAGGTAACGATAAGCCAGTTGGCCTGACCTCAATTGTTGGAAAGATTTTAGAGTCCAATATTAAGGATAAGATTGTGCAGTCCTTGGAAGTGCAGGGTAAAATAGGGCTGAGTCAGCACAGCTTCATCAAGGGGAAGTCATACCTGACAAATCTGTTAGAATTCTTTGAGGAAGTAACAAGCAAGTTAGACAAAGGAGAGCCAGTGGACTTGATCTGTTTTGATTTCCAGAAGGCCTTTGACAAGGTGCTTCACAGGAAGCTGCTAAATAAGAGAAGAGCTCATGGTGTTAGGGGCAAGATACTGGCATGCATAGAGGATTGGCTGACTGGCAGAAGGCAGAGAGTGGAGATAAAGGGGCCTTTTTCAGGATGGAAGCCAGTGTCCAAAGTATGCTTTGCAACCACAGCTATTCATGTTAAACATTAATGACCTGGACGAAGGAACTGAGGACATTGTTGCTAATTTTGCAGATGACACAAAAATAGTTGGAGGGACAGGCAGTGTTGGAGGGACAGGCAGTGTTGAGAAAGCCGGGAGGCTGCAAAAACACTTGCACAGGCTAGGAGCGTGGGTAAAGAAGTGGCAGATGAAACACAGTGTGGGCAAATTTGAGATTATGAACTTTGGAAGGACGAATATAGGCATAGACTATTTTCTTAATGAGGAAGGAGTTCAGAAACCTGAAGCACAGAGGGACTTGGGAGTCTGAGTTCAGGATACTCTTAAAGTTAACATGCAGGTTCAGTTGGCAGTTAGGAAGGCAAATGCAATGTTGGAATTCATTTTGAGAGGTCTAGAAATCCGGAGCAGAGATGTACTACTGAGACTATATAAGGCTCTGGTCAGATCACATTTGGGACATTGTGAGCAGTTTTGTGCCCTGACTCTAAGGAAGGATTGGATTGGGTCCAGAGGAGGCTTACAAGAATGATCCTAGGAATGAAAGTCTTGTCATATGAGAAGCAGTTGGGTTCTCTGTGTCTGTACTCAATGGAGTTTAGAAGGATGAGGGGGGATCTGACAGAAACCTTATAGAATTCTGAGAGGCCCAGATACAGTGGATGTGGAAAAGATATTTTCACTAGTATGAAAGACTAGGACCCAAGGGCACAGTCGCAGAGTGAAGGAATGACCCTTTAGAACAGAGATGAGGAGGAATTTCTTCAGCCAGAGGGTGGTGACTCTGTGGAACTCATTACCACATAGGGCAATGGAGGCCAATTCATTGAGTAAATTTATAACAGAGATAGATAGGCTCTTGGTAAGGGATCAAGGATGATGGGGAGAAGGCAGGAGAATGAGGTTGAGAAACATATCAGCCATGATCGAATCACAGAGAATACCTGATGGACTGAATGGCCTAATTCTGCTCTTATATTTTATGGTTGGCCTTAAAGGTAGAGATGGATAAATTTTTGATAATGAAAGAAATGAAAGGTTATCAGGAGTAGCTAAGAATGTAGTGTTGATGTTAAAATCTGACCAATCATGACCTTATTGAATAGCAGAGCAGGCTTGAAAGGCTGAATGGCTGTTCCCAGTTCATGTGTTTGCTCACAGAGCCAACCTTCTCTGAGTAATCACTCCTGTGGATTAATTTTTTTGGCCAATTTGGCGAATTTTGAGAGTGAACCCACTTGCTACTTCCCCTGTGCCTTGAGAGTTGGCGCAGAACCGACAACACTCAAAGTTTGATGGCATCCAGGACAAAGCAGACTGCTCGATTAGCACCCCATCTAACATTTTAACAGTCACCCCCTTCACCATTGATGCATAGTGTGTATCACATACAAGAAGTAGCACAGCAACTTGCTCAAGCTCTTTCAGCAGTACCTAACAAACCTGTGATGTCTGATGCCCAGAAGGACAAAGGCAGTAGATAAATGGAGTTGTCACCACCTGCACATTACCTTCCAAACCACCCACATTCCTGACTTGGACATATATTTCCACTCCCTCACTGTCATGTAGTTAAAATCCTGGATCTTCTGACCTAACAGCACTATGGATATGTTTAACCACATAGACTGCAGCAGTTTAAGAAGGTGGCTCACAACCACTTTCTGCAGAGTAATTAGGAATGGGCAATAAATACTGCTTCAACCAGCAATGCCCACATTCCATGAATGAATTAAAACTGTCCATACCATGCATGGCAAAAGGGAGCTCTGCACTAACTTCTGCTCTGGGCTGTTAGAATTTTAAATGCTTTGAGTGAGCATGCAAAATCAAAAATCCATTTTCAAACTTCTGCGCTAGGTTATACTCAACTAACCATTTACTTTTTTTATAATGACATGACACCACGTTACATTCTACACATTGTCAAATACAAGTAATTTAAGATGAGGTTTCGACAGCTTTAATCAAAATTTTACTCCATTCTGAATCACTGTATAACAGTGTCAATATAACTAAACTTGTAACCTTACTTAAAAAGTTGTGTTTTTCATCAATATAAATGTTGCTGTTGGAAGTTTCTAAGCTTCTAATAAAAAACATCAATATAAGTTTTTACACATTCTGGTGGCCTATAGGTTATCCCACTCCAGCCAGTGAAACAACTCAAGTAGAGTACTATTTTAATTGTCAGGTGATTTTTATTGACATTATTTCCCAGAACAAGTTAAACAATGAACAGTTGTGTAGCAAACTTATTACAAGGCACTGTGGGGACAGGAAATGGCTGCTTCTGGCTATTTGAAATCCATCATAAATAATGGTCAATTTGGAGGAACGAATCCACAACATAAATATCTTTAGCCCAATAAATCTGTGCATAAACACTTATTTTCCATTTGTGATTAAGCGCCGTGTTTAATGACCAAGAAGAAACATCATCTCCAAGCTTGGAAGATGAAGCTGTTGCATTTGCTGAAATGCTGAGAAGAAGAGAAGAGGACAAAAGACAGCACCAACGAGAAACTTTGCAGAGTCTGAAATTAGCAAAGTTTGCCTCTGAAACAGAAGTTGAACAGGAAAGCATGAGCAAGCAGGAGAATGAAAACGAGATGCCAAAAATGAAGAAAGCAATCAATGATACACATTGGAAGAAATCAGATGAAGATTCTAGTAAGAAAATCAATGTACTCGCAGTTAAGGTGAGTGAACTGCTTACCGTAACTAATACTCAAGGTGATATATAGAATAGTTGACTTAAATTTGAAATTTTTTTTTAAAGGTTTTATCTTCTGTTTTTATATGTTGCATGAATTAAGAATGCTACTGCTGGATTATGCAATTCCAAGAATTGGACTATTGACAGTGTAGTTGATTATATGATAAATTTTAAATTGGAAATTTTATTGTCATGCAACTTAAAGAATGGGGAGAATCGGCAGTAATTTCCTCTTCCAACTGGAACCTTTCTCATTGACAATGCATGATACCAGGACAGATGAAGTAGCCTGACTATACCAAATTGCTCAGAATCTGATTGGGATCATCATACAGTCAGCAGATGTACAAATACACTTTGCAATGTATTAACTAATAGAAGATGAGAAATGCAGACATTTAAAATTACGTACATGTGGCACAGAGGTGAGTATTTATTCAGCATTGAATGCATTGTTTCTTGCAGCAAACTGATGACTGTTTTAGAAGGTGCAGGGCTGGATGAACACAGCAGGCCAAGCAGCATCATAGGA